CCTTGGGTAAAGTAGTATGTAGGGAATTTTCTATATAAGCCAAATAAAGAATCTAATAAAACCTAATAAAAATCAAATGGATGAAAATTTAACTTTCACCCATATAGTTCCAGCTCAAATTATCATTTTACCAAATTTACAAAATTTTTCCAAATTACCAGCTCAAATGATCATTAATTATAAATAATGCATGCATTAAATATAATTTGGACGATATACACATTAATTAAATGCAACAGATGGCCTTGGTATTATAACTTGTGTCCACGGCCATGCTAACAGCATGAAATTACACTACAGAGCTAACTAGCTAACTATGTTCTAGCTATATATATATATATATATATATATATATATATATATATATATATATATATATATATATATATATATATATATATATATATATATACATATATATATATATATATACATATATATATATATATATATATATATATATATATATATATATATATATATATATATCGATAACTCGAACATTCGCTCGAACTCGAACATCTCAAACTAATTTCTTGCTCCCTCGGAGGTTTGAAATATCGAGAGTTAATTGCATTTTTAAAACGATAGCCAAATACAAAGCTTTATGTTTTTTGAACTGTAAAATCAACTATAACGAAAAGATAAGGATTTTAATATTTGAGGATCAATTAAATTTTTTTTTTAAGGTACGTGAACATTCCTTAAAAAAAGGAATTCGTTTTCTTTCCTCGTTTGGTTGTTTTAATAGGAACACCAGTTCCTAGCTTCGTTTCTCAAAAAAGGAACTCAATTCAGGAATCCGTTTCTTTTGGAACGCGTTTTTCCAAACACTAATATATATATATATATATATATATATATATATATATATATATATATATATATATATATATATATATATATATATATATATATATATATATATATATATATATATATATATATATATATATATATATATGTATATACAAAAAGGTGCATATAGTGAGGCTTATACAAAGTTTTTTCTTTTTCTTCTACCACTAATTAAGAGAGAGAAAAAAGCGAGAAACCCTGTCGGTTTTATTGAGAAATATTCTTGGAAACAAGTTGAGTGTTTTAATGAAATTTCATCCTACACTTGTTTTAAAACAAATTTTTCTGAACTAGCACGTAAATTTTCTGTGACAAACATTTTAGTTTTACCATTTTAACAGTATTAAATGCCATTAAAAAAAATACGGATTTTAGGCAAAATAATTTTTACGTATTACACCCGCAGCAACTCAAAAATTAAAAAGTTCAGGGCAAAAGATTGTGCTCCAAAGTTATGAAAAAGACTAATCTTATCTGAAAATCAAACAATTGCAAAAAAAGAGGTTTATATTGAAGGCAGAAAAATTTCCTTGCAAGATATAAGACTAAATATGTTCCAAGACCATGAGATTTTAATGAAAGTTCGAAACGATAATAAACAAGAAGCACTTTCTCTACAAGATGAATATGATACCCTAACTAAAAATGAGCTGATAAATATACTTAAAACTTATGAGAGCACAATTGTAAGCTGGTCATCATAAGGGTGGTAATTGTTTTGTTGGGCATGCAACATGCATGCAGATCTTTCTAATAATATATGAATATCGCTAAGCTTCTTATACACTTTGTTATAAAGTCGTATAGATCATATAAATGCAAGTAACGCTTCACAGCTGGCAGTTCAGCAAGGAAAAAACAAAATATTTTCATGTCTAAAAAAAAGATCAGATTGAACAAGAGCTTTATGAAAGAAATATTCAATTTCCATAAAACACATCTGTCAAAAAATTTGAGGAGCTATTGAGAAAACGAAATGCATTGAGTGCAAGGATTGCCTGCCCGTCTTTTTAAAAAACCAGGTTTTTCTTTAATTCAACTAAATCTTTTATACTATCAAATTTAAAATAGTAAACCTATGCATGAAATTTTAAACCGTATTAAAAATATATATGATGAATTGCCATATTAAGTAGAAAAAAAAGATAAAAAAAATTGTGGAAAAAATATATAAAACCTCTTTCAATGACATTAAAGCAAAAAAAGCTGCCAACTATCGAAAAAGTTTATTACTTTATTACTAACTAGTTTCAAGAACATTAAAAGGTTGGTCACTTTGTTTTTAAACTTACTAACTCTGTGCGAAATACAAAACATCCTTCATATGCCAGAAGAATCTAGATCAACACACAGAATTCTTCGTTTAAAAAATACTACATTTGTACATGCAATAATTATAAAAGAACATTTGGAAGTAAATTTAAAAAATAGCAAGCGAAAATTCTTTGATGCATACTATCACTCAATCACATACCATGCTCCACTACAGTATAGATTGTTTGCAGGTCGTACGTCTAATGTGGAAAAAGAAGAAACAATGTTTCAAAATTTGAAACTGTCAACAAAAACATTTTCTAAGCATCATTCAGATAATGTTATTTTTAATGAAATGATCCGCAACCAAGCAGAAAGATATTTAAAGGAAGAAAAAAAGTTATGTAATGGTGTTTCAATACTTCACAAATTCTACCAACCATTGCATAGTCTATTTAATGATACAAAAATATCATTTACTTGAATTGAAAAGCATAGCAATAAATATCAAATTTTTTTAAAAAAATCAGCTAACTATTTAGTAGAAGGCATTAATGTATAGTGGAAAGAAGTTGAAGATGGAGTAGTATTCATTGATACAAACTACCCCAATAATTTGAAAAAAATATTTTCTCATTTTCGTTCCTCCTCGATTCAACAACAGTCACCGAGTACTTAGAAAAATGCTGGAAACATTGTTTAGGAAACAAACGCAAAATTCCTGCTTAAAACCACAGTTTTACCACAGCTGGTAAAAATGTGTTTTATTTAGAAACACTTCAATACTTTCAAATTTTAAACACTGAAATCATATCTAGAAATAGTATTATATCATATAATATTTATTTAAAAATATCAAAGTTTTGATATGAAAGCAAAAATTATGGCTCAATTATTGTGAGTTGCACTCACGTTTTATTGGGGCTAAAACTTTGGGGTTTTTTTTGTTCCCAGGCTCCAATCATCACAATTTTTTACAAAGCATCCTTATTTCACATATGCATAAACATAAATGTTTGGAGTTTGCTCTATGTCTGGAAGTTAGATATCTCGAAGACCAAAAAATGCTGGGGCTATCCCAACTGTTATCTAAAAGTTATTTTTTAGATAAGGTGGTACTTTGTTGAGGGTCAAACCAATTTTAAAATAACATATACTCAGTTTACAAATATAGGTTTTAGGTATAAAATGATGTGACTCCGGAAGTTTCAATAAATTTAAGTTACTAATACCATATGTTTTAAGGATCTAATCTAAAAAAATCTAATGAGTGACCCTTTTAGAGAAAATTTAGTTTTAAAATTAAAAAAAATTTAATTATACTTTTAAGGATTTTAAATGGTTTTTATTTCTTTATTTAGTATTTAAATCAAAAGTATGGTTGGTAATCAACGTTTATTGCTATTTTTAATTAAATACTTCAAGACTACAATATTTATATTTATCTATGTTTCATATATATATATATATATATATATATATATATATATATATATATATATATATATATATATATATATATAATATATATATATATATAAATATATAAATATATAATATATATATATATATATATATATATATATATATATATATATATATATATATATATATATATAATATAAATATAATATATATATATATATATACTAATGTGCCTAAAATAGATAACCCACAAATCTTAAAAAAAATAAAATCTGCAAAAATAGTTTAAAGAACCAAAGTTATGCCACGTCTACTCTCGAAAATGAATAAATATCAAAGAAGTCACGAAGACAATTAGAGACTGGTTTCAGCCTGCTGCCACCTAAAAGATTTTAAATGTAAACCCATTAACCTAAAACTGGAGAAATTGATTAAAGATCATATCAATTCCAACTATTCAAAACATGTGTTTGAGTATCCAGCAGGTGAAACTTGCGTTCAACATTTCTTGTACGATATTCAGTTTTTTTATTTCAGTTTATTGTCATCAATTCAATCCCAACTATTATCTATGTTGTCATTTGGCAGTTTACGTTCTATTATTATGTTGGTGAATTGTACGTGTTAGAAATCACGTAGATGCGTGTTGAAAGTCAGGCATCAACGTAAGTTATTTCAACTGTAATTAACCTTATATTCTCATGGGACTTTTTAATTTAATATATATAGAGAAAGGATTTTTGTATAGGATGTTAGAAAGAATATATAAAGCTATAGATTATAAACGTTATTAAATTAAATGGACGCGACGATAAAACAAGCTATTTCGGCCATTATGCCACCGGTATTCGATAGCAGCCATCAGCGGTTCGTCCGCCAATTACGAACATACATAACTGCGATGGACGTACCCGAATCCAAAAGAAAAACAATAATATTAACATGTTTGCCACCACAGATTTATTCCGCACTAGAAGATCTATGCTTGCCTGCATACCCTGAAGATGACTCAGTTACCTACGAAGACATCGAGGAAAACATCATGAAGCTTTTTAAACCGAAGTCATTGTTAATACTACACTTTGAATTTGCAACTATAAAAAAAGCAAGTAACGAAAATGTGACGGAATTTTCATGACGGATTACAAGAACTGCTGAAGGATGCAAATTCACGGATAGAGATGATCGAATGCGCGACCAATTCATCACGGGTTTTAACGATGGTGTTACAATCAAACGGTTACTACTGGAATCTGAAGAACTAACTTTTGAAAAGGCTGTGGAAATAGCTGTTACCCTTGAACGAGTAACCCAGGAAGCTCGACAATTAGATGGTTCCTAGAACTTTGACATTTTGCAAGGGACTGCGAAGAACAATGCAATACTTGTTCACACGATCATCAAGCTAAAAACTGCTTTAAACGATTGCAAGGTTTAAAAAGAAAAGGGAGAATCTGGAAATAATGGCATCCAGTATTCTTCCAGAAATGACGTTGCCATCATTAAAAGTGAAAATAAATGGAAGGCTCCGAACAGCATTAATTGATTCTGGATGCTCCATTACTGTGGTTCATGCTGAGTCCGCGCATGGGCTTGTGTTAAAAAGTCAAAAACTTATCACAACTTTGGGAGGGAACTGTGCAAGTGCTGGGTGAAATGGTAATCAATCTGGAAATTGATGGAATACAACCGGATGGTTAATTCTCTGGTTGTAAAAGAAAAAAACCATTTGGGTTTGATTTGATTTTTGGAATGAATGCAATTAAAAAATTTGGAGGAGTTATCATTTATGGTAATAAAAACTGTAACGTCCGAATGTTAGCATGTGACAAAGCGAAATGTGGTGCCGTTACTACGACGAGAAAAAACGAAAACGAAATAAACGAATTAAAAATTGATGTTAGTAATACGACAAGAAAAAGCGAAAACGAAGTACAAAAAATAAAATGAGATGTCAAAAATACAACAAGAATTGAAGAGAACGAAAGAAACGAAATAAAACATCAGGACTTCACAGCAAAGTTCGACGGAAAAAAATGGACGGCATCATGGAACTGGAAAAAAGAGCCTGTAATTGATAATACCATTTGTGAATACAAGATGAACCAAGAGCACGAACGTAGTTACCGTAAAGAAATACGTGAATGGATTGACTCTGGTATTCTTGTACCATATAACGAACTAATATTGGGACCACCAAAAGTATTGATACCGCTTATGTGCGCAGTGCAAAAAAACAAGGACAAAAAGGTACGTCCAGTGGGAGATTTCCGAGCTCTCAACGAATTTGTAAATTGTCATACGGCAAATGCGGACGTTTGTCAAGAAAAACTGCGTTGCTGGAGAAAAATAAAAAGTGCAAAAATTTTTGATCTTAAAAAAGCCTACCTCCAAATTCATATTGATAAAAAACTTTGGCCATATCAAACGGTGATTATAAATGGGCAACGGTATTGTTTTACCAGGATGTGTTTTGGCATCAATGTGGCTCCAACAATAATGACCACAATTCTTCGGCATGTGCTCAATTTAAATCCAACCGTAAAGAAAGCATGTGATAACTACATTGATGATATATTTGTGGATGAAAGTGTGGAAACTGCGAAAAATGGAGCGAAGCATCTGCTTAAATTTGGATTACAATGTAAACCTCCACAAGATCTTGAACAAGGACGTGTCTTAGAATTGAGAGTCGAAAGAAATAAAAATGGGGAACTGATATGGAAACGAGACAATGTGGTACAATTCGAATCTTTAAATGCAGTCACACGATCACAGCTTTTCAGCCAGTTAGGCAAACTTATTGGACATTACCCAGTGGCAGAAAGTTTGCGTTTACAAGCTTCATACATCAAACGTAAACCTAGAAATATACCTTGGTGTGATTTTATTTCTGAAGATTGTAAAGAAAAACTGAAAGAGTTGCTTTACCGTGTGGAAAAAGAGGATCCGGTTGGTGGAAAATGGCTGGTACCAGTTAATGGAAAAGCTGAGCTTTATTGTGATGCATCATCTATAGGACTTGCATGCATCATCTATAGGACTAACAGTTGTTGAAGACGCACGCATGTTTGGGTAAAACTAACTCAAGAAACAAAATGTGACCAGCCGTGGATACCAGGCGTAGTACGAAAGCAAAATACTTTGTCGTTTGACGTGGAAACTGCGAATCGGGTATATCCGCGTCACATTTCACACCTGCGTCGCCGTACAGACGTACAGAGTTCAAATGAATCAGTCAACGATGTTTTTTATAGACTAAACGATAAAACTGATTACGTTAAAGGAAGTTATAGTGATAATGTCGCTCAAGTTCAAAATGATTCTCAAGAACTCAACGTGCTGCAAGTAACACGCTCCGGACGAACAGTAAAGCCCCCACAAAGATTAGACTTATGAGTTAATTCACCAAGAGGGCATGTTCTATTATTATGTTGGTGAATTGTACGTGTTAGAAATCACGTAGATGCGTTTGAAAGTCACGCATCTACGTAAGTTATTTCAACTGTAATTAACCGTATATTCTCATGGGACTTTTTAATTTAATATATATAGAGAAAAGATTTTTGTATAGGATGTTAGAAAGAATATATAAAGCTATAGATTATAAACGTTATTAAATTAAATGAACGCGACGATAAAACAGTTTATTGAACAATTTTTTAAAATGAAAACATGTCTTATAGCTCACGCACAGCAATGTTCTTTGTTGAAAATATATGGTTATTTTGAATCCATTACAGCAGTTTTATTGTACTCAGAAATTTGCTTATTTTGCAAATCATACATGTACAAGTTGGCTTTCAATAAACCAATTAATCCTATACTAAAGCTATTCTTATTATTACTTCAAATAATCCTATACTAAAGCTATTATTTAATACTATAAAAAACTATAAAACTATAAAAAACTATTATACTATAAAAAAATTATAAAGTTTTCTAGCTTTACTCAAATTGACACCTGTAACATTGCGAAACAAATCACTGGTTTCGATTAGCATAGAAATAGCTATTATAATTCAAAATAATAGGGAATTTACGAGCTAAATCTTTATTTTTATTTTTATAATTGATGTTTTTGCATTAATAAATTTACAAATTTACCGCAGTCAATTTAAGTACAATTTGCGCGCCAATTTCTTACGGTAAGTGGATTAAACTATATTTTGTAAAAAACCCAAAAAAGTCAATATGAGCAATTCCACGACTATCTCACAATAAATGAAAAAATTAAAACAAGCCAATATACATAATGCTATATATCAGTAGAAATCTCTATATCTCTTTTTTCAGAAATTATATAGCTTGTTATAGTATGCCGCTATTATAAAAAATAATATGGGCTAAAACACAACCTAAAAATAGGCATTTTTGCAATAATTAAAATCATTTTTAACCGCCAAAGTTCAACTGAACCTATAAAAAATTCAAAAACTGTCTTACTCATTGCAATCCAGTTTTTAGCTGCACTTATCATTGCAACTTATGATAAAACATGTTTTTTGCTAAACGAATTCAGAAAATCATTTATTTTAATCAAATGTTATTACCACTATTGTCACACTGTGACAATTAGGGTACCAACAGTTTTATTTTTAGGGCAATCAGTAAAACTTAAGATTTCAAAATTCCATCGCAATGAGAAATCTATCTAGTACATCTTAACAAATTCTGACATGTTTGAAAAAATAATTACTTTATGTAATTTTTAAAATCTTTTTATGTCAATCTTTTTAAAACAATATTTAAAACTGTTAAACTGAAACAACAATAGAGTTTTTTTCAACTTCAATGACCCAGATTATTGTGTGACATACTTTCCTTGACATTTTCTACAAGAGCTACAAAATGTAGGTATGTTTTGCAAAGTCAACACTTGGGGGAGGAATGCTCAGCTATCCTTGAGGCTCTCTTTTGGGATTCATAGAGCCTCTCTAAGGAATTAAAACTAAATTATAACTAAAATTAATAAGCAATTTTTATAACCGAAATATACATTATACTTATAGGACTGTTGTCATAAGATAAAAATGAAAGTTATTTGAATTTTTTTTATTGTTACTGCATTATATTATGATATATATATATATATATATATATATATATATATATTATATTTATTTATATATATATAATACTATATATAATATATATATATATATATATATATATATATATGTATATATATATATATTTATATATATAATATATATATTTTTTGTATTATATAATATATATTAAGATGTATATGATGTATATATTATACGTATAAAATATACATAAATGATTTACATGTTTATTTATATATATATATATGTATATATATATATATATATATATATATATATATATATATATATATATATATATATATATGTAAATAAATATACATTATATT